TATATATATATATATATATATATCGTTATGAGTGGATGTAAATGTAAAATTGTTAGAAGCGTCGTTTTGCGCTGTGTTAATGGAAATGTTAATGAAATAGCGTTCATAGTTATGAGAACGATAAGTATGTAATAATTGTAATTATAAGAGTAGTAATGTGTGAGTGAACAGCTCCAGTAGCAGTACAATAACTTCGCGTTTGTGATAACTAGACTAGCAAACAGGGTAGTTATATTAACTGATAAATCGCTTGGTTTAGTATACTAGTCAGCATGTTATTAGTAACAGACGGAATCGAATCGTGATGAGTCAATGTTGATAAATTCATCAGGAGATTACTGATTACATATTGAGAATTATACTAAGACGAGTGGTTTCTGAGATTATCTGCCATTAGGACTGCTATGTTTACTAGTCCATTTCTCAAAAGTGTGACATCATTGAGGTAGGTGTCTAATAGTATTGTCTTTATCATTATTACTATAATTATAATTGTTAGTATTATCACTCTTGTTTACATTTACATTCACAGTGATCATATCAGTGACAATTGTGTGGTTATTGTTGTTTCGAACGTGCGATTTTTTAACGAATGGGTTGTTTGTTTGCGTGTACACGTTGAGGATTCTTTGTTTTTAGCAATTTATTTTTAGGTGACCAACGAACTTACACATCAAACTGATTTCAGCACAATTATTTATTCACTTTTTTATCTAATTTGCCTTGTATTTATTTCTTCGAATGGCCTTTGGAGGATTGAATATGTCTTATATAAATTGCTGTCGTCGATTTGAATTTCTATCATTCATTTTTTACCAGCTGATGGTTTCCATATTGGACACGAGAGCGGCATGTGATAACTTCTCCACGTAATTTGCTTTCATCCTTGAGGAAATACTGATTAAGTAACTGGATATATATGTAACTGAATCCGGAGCTAGAACTTGATATCTGGAGATGGAAGCTATCTAATTTTTTTTAGGTGTGTGGGGGGGAGAAATGAAGCTAATATACTAAGCAAAGTGAACGGTTGAAAACCTACTCACTTGCAGTTCCTATCTTATCTTTTTTTAACAGTGAATGCTGATGTAGGGCATTCACTATTACAATTTTTTTTCACTTTTCACTTTTTTTCACGTCAATTCCTATATTTTTCACTTCTTCAAAATAACTGTTGATGAGTGGATGCGTTCACTTCATTAAAATCTAAGGTTATTTTTTTATGCGCGAACAAGTAATGTTTGTTGGGTGAAGCATTTGCAGTGATAATGGTTATGATAACAGGTTGATTGTTATTGATAAACATCTTGTATGTATATGACTAAATTGATATTTCTTTCTTTATTTAGGTGCGAGCCCATGATCATATTTCAAAAAATTGGAAGGTTGCCCTGATTGCTTGCAACGTGAGTTTCTCCACTGATGGTGATAGTCGTCGGAAAAAAAACCATCCCTCTCCTCCTCCTCCCCCCTCCCTCCCTCAACGAAGCTTTCGTTCTCAATCTTGGGCCTTCCTTTTCTCCCTTAATTCGCCCCACCAATAACACTGCCTCCTAAATTAAAACTAATTCCCACTTCATGGCTTACGCATTACGGTGGTCTAGTGCTTTGGAAAAATCAACCTCAATCAAATCCCCGCAACCTTACATATTCAACCTTCATTTTCTCCTTCATTAATTTTGATATTATTTTTGATTTCATCAAACGCACCTTTGGCGGTTGATTCTACTTCTATGTCCTGCATTGGTTTACATCAATGCTCACGTCACGCTTCTTTTTACGTACCACATAATCCTGTGCTGACCCTCACCCTGACTTTCAACTTCACATTCTAGTTATAGTATCATCGTCTCAATATTTTCCTTTCATACAATTCTGTTTAATCCTGTCTAAATCTAAGTTCTTCCTTAATCCTCTTTCCATCAAGGCTATGCATATCGTTCTGACGATGGCCCGTGCATAACCTGGAAGTACATGTCAACGATTCAGGGCCGAAACATATACTCCCCTCTCATCTTATCTTTAAACCAGCGTCTGTAAGCTACTTCAAATATTTCCTTCTATTTTCATCTTCAAACTAATGCACCTACATCTTATCCTGTCTCCCACTCTATATTCATACATTCTAATGCTTCTTACCCTACCTTCCTTTATCATTCTTACCTTTCTTCTTCACTTTACCTCTTCACGCTCTTCTAATTTCAATACCTTTCAACTGCTTTCAACTTTCCAATTTTCATATTCCTACCAATATAGTGCACCTACTCTCATTAATAGTATAAAATAATCCCAAACCTCTCGACAAAAGAACGGAACGCATTAAAATCTCTCAAACAAAAAATCAACTTGGGAAAAACCAGAATCAGCGTACCAGGTAGAGGATGAGAATTTGTGGTATAACCCCAAACGCATAGTTTAAAAAACTCAGATTGACTTGTAAAACTCCACGGTGAAATTCCACACATCAGATTCCTCAACCAACGAACCCACAAATAACAAAATTTATCAAAAATCAGTACCACATATTAACAATACCTGGCTCATCATAGGCACAAAGCTAAATCTCCCCGAAGACCTCAAAACATCTGCTGTCTCAACATCACACTCCACCAGTATGGGTGCCTTCATTAAAGCTCACAAAATCCCATACGACCAAATGAATTGTACGAAAAATAGCTCTTATAAGATCAGACCTATTATCAGCGCTTGCAGTGGTGTGGCCGATAGAGTCAGCTGGTTCCTAGTTCGCATCGTCAGCCCACTATTCGTCAAAGCCCACCTTTCCAATACTGATGACTTCATCAAAAAACTGAAATCTGAAGCGAATGTCAGTAGTTTTGACGTTGAATCCCTCTACACTGATGTGGATAATGCCAGAGCCATTAAGGCAGTGATGCAACTCCTCACCGATAATGTTAATCATTATGGCTTATTAACTGGACACTACCGTTAATATTAACTATTCATGTGGGCAGAACACCTTTATCGTCGAAAAAAGAGGGTTAGCAATGGGGAGTAGACTGGCACCAATACTAGCAATTAGAGACGGGCAGTAGCGCACCATTCCGCCACTAGCGGAGTGGCGCGATAACGGACGTCGTTTTGGAAATCGAAATTTGATAGCGATAGCGCCGTTACTGTCTCAGTTCGTCTACAAGTGATTGTATATTTTTTGGCAAAGCATTCTTACAATTTGGAGAAATGTAAAATTTGATTCATGATCCTGATCTGTCGACGCATAAGCGTCGCGAAGCTGGAATGGCTATGCAAAAGATGCTATTGTCGACGAGTTGCTTCGGGAAAATGATGATGATGAGGATCTGTCAACATGTAAGGAAGTAGAATTTTTATTCTTCTCTGAAATGGGCGATCACGAACAGGAAAACACCATTACATTACCAGCCCACATGAGATGTGCTGCATACACTTGGAATTTAATCGCCCTCAAGGATACGAAGAAGGCTGTCGATAAAATCGTATTCAAAAGAGTTCATAAAAGTGCCTTAGCGAAGGCGATATCATTATGGAATCACCAAAACCAAAGCACAACAACCGCTGATACCGTCTACAAGGAGCTCGGTGTAAGGTTGGTCATGCTGAATGATACAAGATGGAACAGTTTTTACCCTTTTACGAAGCGGTTACTAGGGAACGACCTGTAAGGCGTGATAACGACCGCCCTAGGACACTCGTGAAGGCGAATCTGGGTACAACTCGAGAATTAGTTTCGGAATTCGGGGTTGGCCACTTGACCGTTAGTGACCACCTCTGTTTGATTCGAGATGTGAAGAAGATGGAAGAGCAGGTTCTACATGAACTTTCGTCCAAAACCACGTCTGCATCCGAAAAACTTCGTGGTGACAGTTTGGTGGACGGCTCGTAAGATAATTCATTAAAATTTTCTAGGACTGATTCAAACGATAGCAGCAGAATCATACTGTAACGAAATGTAAGTGATTTCACAAAAATGAGCGAAAATTCGGCCAAATTCCGTGAACGGGAAAACTTCGGTACTGTTGCACGACAACGCTCATCCACACATTTGCAACTCGCGCGAATTAGGCTGGGAAACTCATCCTCATCTGACATATTCACCCAACTTGTTCCTGACCGATTACCACTTTTTCAAATATCTAAAACACTTCGTGCACAAGAAGCGCTTCGGGAATCAACACACGAATGCTGTCGAAATAATGTTCAAAGATTTCGTCACATCCAGAGATCCGAAATGCCTTTGCAGCGGGAGATATGACCTCGTTTCTGGATGGCAGAAATGTGTGGATTCCGACGGTGCTCTTTCCTAATGGATATATTGAGCTTGAAGGAGGTTATAACACTTTAAAATTTTCATGCGCAAATTACAAAAGCATACCCATTGGCCTAATCCATTGGAGAGAAGTGGAGACCAGTACACTTCCGCATAACACAACATATCAGAAACTTGAAGCAGCTTGGTGCGACATTCTACAAAAATATGTCCCTAGCACAATACCGCAAAAACTATCCCGAAATCTCTTCATCAACGATAACAGTCAAAGCAATGGCCGAAGCAACCAACATAGTGCAACACAAAGTATTAGCAGCACAACAAATCCAAAAAGATAAACCGTGCATAAGCCAAAAAGAGTAAATGGTTCAGGCCCTGAAATATCTCCAGTAATATCCAACATATCCAACCTAATTTCATTTATCAAATGCTTCCTCCAACATTCATTACCCATCATTCTTCACACATCCTCTCTATCAACCATATCTATGTAATCACCATCATCCCAATTAATCGCCAACTCTGATTCCATTAGCAAAGTCATGCCACCATTGGTGTAAAATCTCACGTCGTTAGGAATTAAGGTAACCTTCCTGTTTCCTTGAAATATCATCTTTTATGTATACTTAACACGTATGTATACTCTGTCTGGTTTTTGCTGATTCGTTGCTTTTATCTGCACTTTTTTTGATTGTTCAACTATGACACATTTCAGTACGGAATAAATATTGATAGAATCGTAAAAATTTTCAACCAAGTTATCGATTTTACATTGTACCACTTTCAACCTTACGTGATATAAAGTTGAAAATCAATATGATGAGAAATTTGAAACGATATTTAAATTGCACGAATTTTCAGTTGGCTCTTGCCCAATGCACACGCAATCGTAGTGATGGAATTAATTAATTAGAGTCACATGGTTTTGTTAATAACATTGGTCGTAGTCGTTAATAAGAAGCTTTATGGTGTAGTTGATGTTGCTGGCGATGGCTAGTTATTAGTGGTTGAAAAGATTAGTGAATCTCATATTTATTCAGTCAGTTTTTTGACAAAATTCTGTTAAATACGTTTTATACCGCCTCAGACTGAAGCCTTCCCTTCAGCTCAATTCGGTAAAACCTGAATTGAGACCAAGACTACTGTGAAGAAGTTCAAGTCTAATCTTCGTCTTGTAAGCTGTTTTCATAGGCAGGTCATATTGAGTTCTCAGAACTAATTTTGCTGTTCCATTGCTATGCATCATCTGGATATCTGTTTTATGTTGTACGCGTCGTTATGAATAAATTTAGACAGACATTAATAAAGTTATTTATTCTCTAGATTTCAGGTTCATTGTGGACCTTATGCTAACACAATGCCGTATGTTAATGCAAGTAAGTTTTTTGTTGTTATTTTACGAAATTTGGATCGATTTGTTTTTCGATAGTGTCGGCTTCATTGCTTGGCTCTGGATTGATAAAATGGACGCTATTAACATTTTAGCATCTGGGCAAAACGAACCAAAATTTGCCACACAACAAGCAGAATAGCTTGATTTGTTCATTAAGCAGTTCAGCACTCGACAGATTGTTAATGCTTTGCTGGTTTGAATCGGAATTTTCTCTGTGCGGGAATTGTTCCTCGTTTTGCATGAGTAGTAGGCGAATACCGTTATTGAAATGAATTGTTTTCATTTTGAAGTGCATAGACAGTCAAATCTTCATTGATTTGATGGTATGTTGATCTTTGTAAATTTGTTCGTCGGGTAAAGCAAGCTTCGATTTCAGATGGTGATATTGTGGAGTCGAAAAATTCATTTCTTAATGTAATTCTGGGCATCTTCTCTTTCATAATGCTTTTGTCAGTTTTGTTCAATAATTTCCAATACCTTTATTCGATTTCATTTTATCATTTCTTCTTCATTATTATTATTATTATTATTATTATTATTGTTATTATTACCTCAATTTCTGTCGCAACTAAACAACAATAAAAAAACTGTTCATCAACAATACTTCAGTTTCAAAACATTGTTCGCCCCATTTCTGGGCTCACAACAACAACAGTTCAATCCTAGAGATCGTCTCCGGAATGGACCATCTTCATCCAATGGACTTGATCCGAATAGACGATGGCCTAGGAGTGGTGGTCCTGGTGGGCCATCTTATGGTTATTGTTTTTTCATTTTTTAATATTAGAAATAATTGTCACAGTTAAATGAATGCTAAATGTGTGTATATTGACAGCTGATGAAGGTCGAAACCGTCGTCAAATGGGTCGATTACCACGATCCTCTGGGATGAGTATGCCACCAATGAGCTGTGCACCGGGTGGATGAGGTTAATTTCAGTCCATTTGCATGGACAGTGTATTAATCTGGAAATCAAATATACAAGAATGTTTGTGTGACGCATTTGAATTAAATCCAGTTGCTGGAAATTCATTTGCTGATTACGTGTTGTATATTGAATTCATTCATTGGGCAGTTGTCTAGTTTAGAACAACGTTACTGCATTTCGTTTATACGCATTGTGATCAGTCATGCGAATATTGACGAACGAATGAAATGCCGTTTCAATTTTAAAAACGTGAATCAAATAACTGCCTAAATTTGCTTATTTCCTAATTGATCCATATCACTTCTATTGATTCATTATTACCTGTGATATCATTATTCATGTTCCATCATCAATTAAATGTAATAAGCCTCTCGTAGTTGTAGGTAAAGTAAATTTTGAGCGTATCACCCACCCTAGCTAGTTATAATATCATTCTCAATTCGACAATATGTACTGAATTTGATTTCATATGTTCCGCTCAAGAATATCAGTCCTCTGTGAAAGATCAGCTCACAAAATAAATTGTTGTTATAATGGTTATCAGCATCATCCCTATTATTACTTCATCTCTGTTTTATGCATCATCATTATCATTCATTGATGTAGTAATGATAACAACTATTATTTGTTTATATGTGGAACGTATTCCTTCCACACAGATATCTATGCAACACCTACCATTTACCTATCTATTTGATTGCATCTTATTATTATCAGTATCGTTATGCTATATTACGATATAAAGTGAATTTTTATCTTTCCCCTTTTCCACATTAACAAGTATGACAGTGCTAATGATGAAGTGCATATAATTTTTACACTGATATTTTCAATTAGTGAATATATTCTCGTAAGGAAGGCAGTAAGTAAACAGGCGACCTAAAATTGATCTTACCAAATAATGCATAGAGTTGTGGAATAGATAGGAAAATAGATATGCGAATGCTTGATTCCATAAAAGATCGTGTAAAGATAAAGAGGTTGGAGTGAAAGATGAATGAGATTCGTTGCGTTATGTTGTGAATAACGAGCTGAGGGATATGGGTAGGTTGAATTAAATTTTGTGTTTATTTGAATCATTAGTAAAAAGTGGTACTTGTAAATGCTGGCAAATGAAGAGATAAGTGGTATGATATACTGATAGAACATAATGTAGAGAAGAGACAACCAACTGACAATCAAAGTACAAGTAAGTGGGGTGTTTAAATATGGATGGTGGTGTTGTATGGATAACGCAGATACATAAAGTAAAGAGATGGATGAAACATGAATTTAATAAGACTAATCGTATCATATGGATGTGATATTGAGTCTTTTAGGAGAGGATATGTGGTGCTCTAGAAGCACAATTAACGATGATTCTTTTGTATGTGACAAGCACAGGGAGTAGACAGATGATGATAAAGCTGAACAGAATTTGTCATGAAAGTAGCTCATCTGCTATCTGTGTCCCATATTCTGCTAGATAGGAAACGCATCTTCTCAAGCGGTATAACACTAGCCTTATTCAGTAATTGAATAGTAACGTATTTATTATAATAACGATGTATGTTACTTAGCAAGTATTAATTATTGTTGTTATTTGTAGCGAAGAATATGACACTTTTGTACTAATATGAGATAGTAGAGATTGACAAATAATGATTATTATTGATGTGGTAATAAAAGTGATAAAGGATCTATCATTTGACAAATGTCGACATGTTTTAATGCTAATATTTAATTGTAATTATGTGTTGTGTTTCCTTCGTGTTCAGAGGTAATCGTTTAATTGAGATGTTGTGTTCGTTGAGAGAAAACGATCGTGATGAATAGATGGTGTAGATATTGTTCTGGCACAAGGTCTATGAAGTTCCAACTTTACGAACTCTTATTGATCATTACGAAGATTGTGTGATATCGAGCACAGTAGAACCTCAAGTGTAATCCCCAATATTGACCACAGCAAAACCTCAAGTGTAATCCTCAAAAAAATTCACAATCATTATACGAGCTGTTTTCTCGGAGTCGCGTTAACTTCGTGGTCTCGAATAAGTTTTCATTTTTTCGTTCTTTTGATAATCGTTGCAGTGATATTAAAAAGTGATGCTGATAATAATAGTAGTTCTGAATGGGTGCTCGTCTTTCAACACTACCACGCTCATCAGTGCAATGCAGTAATGAACCTCAGAGGTTACTTCAGCTGAATATTCTTATTTTGGGTTTGTTTATTATTGTTGTTATTATTGTTATAGTTATGATAATTATAACAATAATGATAATAATAATAATAATAATAATAAT